AAGGGAACTGGGAGATTTCTGAAACAACTTAAAGCCAGAGATCCATGGAAACTCTTGTAAAGTAGAAAGACTTGATGTTTCCGTGTTTTAGATATAAAGCAATTGGGGAGCAAAAGAAGATAGACATCGACAGCTAGGTTGCTTGAGATTCAAAGTGTTAAGTTAGTGAATCAGCAAAGCCAATTCATACAGCAAACTTGTCGAGGAAAGGACAAAATAGTGTTCTAGGCAGCAGCACATACAAAGACCAGGAGATGTAAAAGTCAGAGGGTAACTAGGAAATTGCAAATGGCTTGTTGTTACTAGAATTTTGAATTTGATCTTTAAAAGATTGTGAAAAAACATCTGATCATAAAAAATTTCATAAACAAAACTTGGAGTTTCCAAACTTTTAGGTTGGGAGAACATTTGAAGTTTTTTAAGGTAAGAAATGGTATGGTCCTATTTATAAGCTGTTAAGACCATTCTATCAGCAGGTGTGTATGTGTATGTGGTATTTGATTTAAAGAGAAGTGACAGCTCCAGTTCAAAGGCTGGGACAATAGGAGAGATGATGAGAGCCTGTAGTAAGATAGTGGTGAGAGGGCTGGTGTGAGGCCTAAAAGTAAGGCTCAATATTATGTGCTGCCTTGACATCTGTTATAACAGGAGGGACCCAGAATGGCCTAACCTCTTCCTACTCTGCTCCCATCATCAAGGTTTCCTAGCCAAAAATCGTCCTGATCATATGGGCCAAATGCAGTTCCTGCTTATCCGTGAGCAGTGGGTTTTAGTTCCTTGCACAATTATTCGGTCAAGCCAATTACATTTCTAGTGGGAACTAAAGGTCACCTTACTCTCTTGGTACTACAAAGCCTGCCTCCCTCAGACCCTGGTTGTTCACTGTGTTTCTAAGTGAAGCCCCACTGGGGGTCTGCACCTCATGTAACATTCTCCTGCCTGGCTGTGACAGGGAGGACTGATAAACTGCTGTTGATCTTGTCTATCCAGTGCTGGGCGTTGTGTGCTCAGCCAGCTCTCATAACCCGAGGGCAGGAACCCCTCTCTCACCGATGGGGTGAATAGGAGGAAATAAAACAAGTGAAGGTGGAGAGTAGACATTAGAGCTGTGCTGTCCAGTATAGTAGCCTTTAGCTTCATGTGGCTATTGAACACTTTAAAGGTGGTGAATCCAAATTGTTATGTGCAGTAAAGGTAAAATATAACCTGGATTTTGAAGACTCATTATGAACACAAGAAAATAAATATCTCAATAATAATTTTATATTGATTGCATGTGGACATAATAGTTTGGATATATTGTGTTGAATAAAATATTAAGTTAATTTTATCTTTTTATAGTCTTCTACGGTAGTTACTAGAAAACTTAAAGTTGCATATGTGGCTTCCATTTGTGACTCACATTATGTTTTCTATTGCACAACTCTGGTTTGGTGAAAGGTAGTCAGGGAAAGATTCAGTGTATCTTGGGCTAATGAAAGAGATTCCTAGGACTAAAAGCTTGATCTGGTTGGGTGTAGAAATTAAATAAAGAAAAGAGAATTGAGGGGGAGCAGAAAATTTACCTGGGAAGTGGAAGAATTCAATTTTGAATGCACCTAATTCAGGTATCACGCAGCTATATAAATGGAGATGTACAGTGTAATGTGAGTAATTAATTTGAAATTCATTAGTAAGATTGGGGGTGAAGACACATATTTTGGAGTCATTAGTTCTTATGTGTAAAGCCATGAATAAAGTGTCCAGAGCTGGAATGTAGAGCAAAATGGGAAAGTTGATGATATATATTAAGGTTGAGCAAATGCATAAGTAAATTGATACTGCTCAACACGTTTTAGTACAGTACAATAAACTTTTGTTGAGTATCTACTATGTGCCAGACTTTGGTGATATATAAGACTTGAGACATATAAAAAACAGTAATTTTTTGGGCCGGCCCCGTGGCTAACTTGAGAGAGTGCGGTGCTGTTAGCGCTGAGGCCGTGTGTTCGGATCCTGTATAGGGATGGCCGGTGCACTCACTGGCTGTGGTGCAGACCACACCGTGCGAAGGGTTGCGATCCCCCTACCGGTCCCCCCAAAAAAAAAACAGTAATTTTTTTTAATGGAAATTAATTATTTATCTCAACATCTTATTTCAGGCCTGAAATACTGTGTATTTGCAGTGAAAAAATACAGAAAACAGCAATGTTTGACACTAATAAATATAATAGAAAATAGTTTTACATATAATAAAGTGTTTTCATTTGTGGAAAGAAGATCTTATCAGAAGAAGGCAAAGCTGGAGATAAAGACTTGTGGGGAATTCAGATAAATTTTCTTGTAATTTTAAAGTATCTAGCAATTGATAATACTGATTCTTTGTCATATATGCCTCCATTAAATTTTGTGACTTTGGTTTGAAGAAGCTGTAGCTGTAGATCTCATTTTCTTGATAGAAAGTCATTTGGGTTTCAGAGGAATTGACGAGAGAAATATAAAGAGAAGGTACAAGGGAGAAATTCTACTTCATAAACTGGCAAAGAAATTTAATGTAGACAGAAAGGGATAAAAAGTAGAAGCAGAGAGGAGAAGAGATGATAGGAGAAATAGAATAAAGAAACTTCAATAAAATGGCCCGATATGGAACCACCTTGCTGTGTATGTTAATCAATAATATAATTTTATGTTTAAGATATATATGTTTTATTATTGAAGGGAGTAGAAAAACATATTCTTCTTTGATAAAAGAAGAGAGATAGGTTTGACTATTATACATTATTTTTGTAATTAACATGTTCCAACACAACTACATCAGGCATTATGCTAAGTTATTTAAATATATTCTTATTTAATGCCTACAATAACCCAATGAGTACTTACTTTACTGTCTCTATTTACAGAAAAAGAAGTTGCAGCTCAGGTAAGCTGCAGTTGTCCACAAATTGTGCAAGGCCACACAGCTAGTGAGAGGTAGAACTGGGCCGAGAACCTAGACATGCAAAGCCCATTCTCGTAACCTTCTGGTTATAATTGTTATATGTTTGGAATTCAGGGGATATGTATACAGCAAACAAAAATAGAGGAACGGAAAGAGGATCAACTAGTGATCAAAACCTTGGATTTTAGAGGAGAAACAACATTATTCTAGTAGCCATACCAGTTGTAGTATTTATTCTGAAATGAGAACCAATGATGTATTATGCACGTACTACATCAGTTATTTTAACAAGTTCAATAAATACAGAGTTCTTTCTCTGCTTTTTCCACCATCCTCATTGGTTGACACAGAAATTTAGTTTGGATGATCAAAAACTAGTTGAAATTTCCCAGACTCCATGTATATGCATATGCATATGTATTTATATATATATACACATATGTGAAAAAATATGTTTTTATGGCTAAACTATGTTCCTATAGTTGAGACAAAATCCTGTGTGCAGGACTACTAGATTCCTTTCTTTTGAAATCATTAGGCCAGAATTATTTTTGATTTACCTCTCTTAATGGAAATTAAGCAAATTATTAATATGTTATCTGATCACCAGAAAGAGAGCTTTTAAGATATTATTTCATTATAAATTCTTTGTGTTGTCTAATTTTTTTGTATAATTAAAAATAAATAAATACTCGTGGTAATTGGGTCACTTTATATCACAGTAAAACAGTGATATAGAGGAACAAAATCTACATAAGTTAAATTTAAGATGGATTTATTAAGGCTGATGCAAATAAAACCTCTTATTTAACCCAAAGCTACTTTTTTAGAAAAAAAAAATAGTAATAGAAAGAGTATAAATTTTTCTTACTAGTGAGAAATTCTTAAATGAAAACAAATTTTGGTTTTGGATAAATTTTGTAATATAATTTTTACAGACTGGCATTTGACAAACATATATGTTATTTTGATGAAGATTTACAATCAAATATTGTTCATATCATTACCAATATGAAGTGATTAATAATTATATTTGTGAGTTAGGCAATTGGAGTGAAGAAGGAAAGAAGAGGAGAAATTAGATTACTTAAAGATTTTAGAGAGTTCTTTAAAATTTAAAAATAATATGTCATTCAAAACCATGAGATAGAATTCATTTAAAATTTTAAAGAATTACATTCATTAAATCTTGACTCAACAATTCTGAAGTAGCCAGCTGGTAAAAACTGGAAAACTTAATATATTCTTAAAATTGAAATTTTTCCTGATTTACTATAATCTTCTAATAACTCAGAGTCCCTATACATTGTTTATTGTAAGATGAAGATTAATTATGTAGTTAAAATATGTTTCACTGTCTTTATTATCAAACTTAATAAAACAAATGTACACAATGATTGATATAAACATGGGAGAAGAGAATAGTTGAGTTTGGGGAAATTTTGCTTTCAGTTATTTGTAGGTAGGTAAATGATTCTGTACACATTATTTAGAAAAACATAAGAAAACACAGAAAATGAATTACATTTTAACAAATCTGGTGATGGGTTAGAGAATGCTGAGTTACATACATTTTACTTGATAAGAAAAATATCTCCCATTTGTTCTATAAATATCTTTTATCCCACTGGGAATAAAAGTTTATCTCTATTTCAAGAAAGAAATAATTAGAACGTATACAGGAGGAAACTAGTGAACAAATCAACCAAATGTTAGAGCATGAAACACACAATTACTGTGATTTTAGTATACTTAGTGGAATGCAGTTAAGCACATGCTCACCTAAGTAACAACAAAGTTGAAAATTTGAGTCTCACAGTTAACAGAGGAGCAACAAAAGTAATTGTGATTTATATTAACTGATGCCCAAGAAAAACCTAACATTTTCCAAAAAATGTCAAGAGCTTCTAGGTGTGCTGAGAAAACAACAGGAAAACAAACAAAAATATTAATAAAGTATAAATGCTAAATTGGATTCTGATATAAGATATCTAAAAATTTCTCTTTTGGAAAATACCCAAATTTGATTTGCTTGCTTAGGACAATGACAGAATCAAACGAATAAATAAAAGCAAAGACCTTCAGTTTGCTCTTTAATTATGTCATGTACAGTTTCCCAAAGTACAGGAAAAAGTAGTATCATCTATAGTCTGTAGAAAAATTACTCTGGAGGAAGGATGGATTGAAGGGTGAAGTTACCCAAGTCAGTCTGATTTACTGTTTTGTTAAAATTTTACTTTTTTGTATCACTGAAAAGATTAACAAAGCCTTAATATATTATCACTGACAGATGGATAAAAATTCAACTAGCATGACAATAACTTCCAATTAACCAAAGAAACCAATAATTCTAAGATAGAGAGAACATCACGTCTTCTCTAGAATTTAATTTTTGGGTGGCATAGCTGAGCAATTGGGTTTAGGTTAAGATTTTGTGATGCTTGAAGAGGTAAGTTTTATATTACATTTTGTTTTTTAAAATAGGTTTTAAAAACTTAATCTTCTACAATAGTAGATGTCCTGGCGTATATGAAGAATCCATGCTTTTAAAAGATTGATGCATACAACGTAGAAGGCAATGCCTTACTACACCTACGAACACATCTTGGTGTTTTCATTCCACGTTTTATCAATAATATCTTTTTTAATACTTTGAATAGTGAACAAATATATAAATACTGCATCATTGTCAAAGTGGAAAGGCCTAGGTTAATAGTATGGGAAGATTCTGGACCCATTTAAAGATGGCCACACATGTAATAGTGATATTATGCAGAGTTGCACCCTCTTTCATTTCTCAGAAAATTCTAAAAGATTTTGTTGGACAATAATGCCAAGTTCACTGAGAATGGCATGCTCTGCTGGATGAAATAGTAATATCAGGGAATATGTAAACTTTTAGATCGTCCCCTCGTACAATAGGAAAATAGAAAAAAAGAAACATGGAGGCCGCAACTTCATAACCTCTTTAGCAAGTCAAAGAAATTCACTGAGCATTAACAACAGAGGAAAACATATGTGAGCTAAATATCATAAATAATAATTGTTCAAAAATGAACATGGAGTTAGATAATTTCTTTTCATAATAAAAGCAAAATCATTTCTAAATTATCAAGGGGAAAACATTAGCCCTTAATTTAGATATTGGATTACTGCTAACTTCATTTATAGATATCCTCAGTCCTTATGTTTTCCTCAAAATTTTAATTGGTCACTTGCATATAATCAGGGTTATGAGTCATACACAGTTTCTGAAACCTTATAGTTAACAGAGAAAGTGGGTTGTGTTATGATCCCCATACCAGAAACTGGATAAAGTCACAAAACCCTACATTATTTCCTAAAAACTTACACAAGAATTGATGCTAGTAATTATCAATGCGTGCATATATAACAGTTTTCGTTTTTACGAAAGGAAGGAAATTTATTCACACAGTCCTCTGTTGACAATCACAAGTGTATCATGGGGATAAAAGTTGTGGGGTTTGCTTTTTCTATTTAATAATAAAAGTAAGTGTCTGGAGAGCCTTGGTTCTTGTGTCCAGTGCTATCTCACTTTCTGCAGCTCCTGTCTCAGCCATGAGGGCAGAGGCTGCCCCAGTCTATGTAGCAGTTTGGACAGTTCCACATTGTGATCTCGATAGTAATTAGAGAGGAAAGTTCTAGACTGGAAAGCAAAAAGAAAAAGAAGACTTGAAAGAAGTTATTCGTTCACCATACAAGGTTATATAATCTACATTTCTTAAGGAATTCTATTACAGTATAGGTGTCTACAAAATACCTATTTCTTGTATTTTTCCTCAAGTATCACTCATGTTAACCTTTGAAAAGATTTGGCAAAGCAAAGCTGTAAAATAAAATCAGGTCCAGGTATATCCTTTGTGGCTTATCTACTGTTAACGACACATATTTATTGAGGGATTCATGAAGTCTACACTTAGAGAAAAATTGATGGCAGGAATATAATAATATGGAAGAATGAGGTAGGACCCTCATGAGGAACCAAATCTACAGAAGTGAGGTGGATAAAAATACACATTTTCCTTAAAAATTGGCCCACAGAATAAAAATAAAAAGTGAACATAGATAATCATGAAAATTGAAATTCATGATTACAAAAAATAATGCGAGACATTACATAAAATATGTCTATATTTATTTAGGACCAAAATACATTTTTTAATTATTCAGAGATTACTGCTTCTAAAATATTATAAGGACTCTGAAGCTTAATCTTTTTTTGTAATTTTATATTTCAAGTCAAGCTGGAGAGATTGGCTCCTATTAGATAAATGGTTAAAAAAATTATAAAATATATCAATAGTTTTAGTTTTATGTTTATCTTTTATTTACCAAGACTTCTGGAAAACGGAACATTTATAATTGGCTTTCTTTCTGGATGTCACTGACTTCATATTATAAATCAATAAACATAGTTCTGTCTCTTTGATAAAACAGTGGAGGTGAACACTTGCCCAGAGCAGGTGCAGGTAGCAATGGCTCACACATTATTTTCCATCTGGTCAAAGTTCCACCATCTCTCTTAAGCCCTCCTCAATAGTTTAACACAAATGAATCTCTTACTTCCTAAAACTCCCTTAGCAACTTTTGTGTATACTGTGGAAACGGATTTAAGACAACTACATTACATCCTGGGCCATTTGCCGGGTGTTTCATTATGTTTCTTCCCTTAAACCAGATTGTAAAAACTTCAAATTTGGGATAAGGTGTTTATAGTAGTAGTGAGAATGTTACATTGATTTTTTTGGCAGATTAAAGTGATTTCTGAAACCCTTTTGAGCATACTGAGTTCAAAGGTGTAGTTTAAGAACATTCTGGTCCTTCTTTTTCCATAGTAATACATGAATCACTTCCATCCTTCCTTTGCCCACCTTGCTGTAGGAGAAATATTCATGATATCTGGCTGAGCCAGTTGCTGGCTGGTTTCCCAGCCCTAGTCCACCACATAAGGCATTTCTTCTCATATCCTCACTTCTATTGAAATATTTTCCTCCTTTTTGTCATTTAGTTTGTCATTGTTTTTTGCATCCTGTTATAAATCATTGACCATAACTAATTTATCTGCCTTTAATAAATCTGGATTTATAACTGTTTGTCTTTGCTTTTGTCCAGTCTTCTCCATTACTTAGCTCAGTATCATTGGATACATATATTGAATATATAATTATAATGCTTGTAATAGTTTACTCAAAATCACTTGTTTAGTAAACAATTTATTTAAGTGCTTTACATATTTTGAAAGGAGTTACTTTTAAGTAAGTATTTATGTTTAAACTACATTCCAATAGCAAACCATTTCTAGGAATATATATTAATTCTTTTTCTTTATATTTATCTACCTACCTATCTATCCATCCTTCTATTTATCTTTTATCAAGATATAGAAAACTATTAATTGCAAAAAAAGGGCAAAAGAAGAAAGAAAAATTTTTCTTACTAGTTTTGAAACAGCTATATGTATAGATTATTGCTAGTGTAATTCAAAGATTAGGAAAATATTACCTCTGGATCCATGGGTGGGTATTTTCGGCCTTTGCTTTTTCCAAGGCATTTTGTCTTTCCTCCTTCCAGTAGTTGACACCAAAAACCTTTTTGAGGATCAAACCTAAAATAGATAAAACCTATAATGATTATAAATTATGTAACAGAATTTCCAGTGAAAGAGCCTCACCAATTGGATAAAGAAGATGTACTTTTTATGGTCATCGCTTTAATTTAATTCATTTCTACAGATATTTATTTAGCTGATTTGAGAGAGGCTAATTGAGATTAAAGAAATTATGTTATTATATATTTGAATAATTCTACTCTAATGAAAATGCATATACATCTTTAGTCCAATTTTATGTTGAAATTATTAACTTTAGCTTCATATTTTACCTATGAATTCATTAAAGACTAAGGACCAACCATCAAAATTGTATCTCATATATAGAGGACCTTCTTTGGATATTTTATTTGTTTATAAATGTGATTTCCCTGTCAAAATATATTAACAGACTTCTTGGAAATCATTCAATGGTGTACATTAAAGGGGCTGAATATAATATAGGAATGCTTCTCTGAATATAAACATGAATTAAACCTTCCATTTTGGAAAAATACTGTTGTTTTTTTTATAGTTTAAAATGTTTAATTTCCAAAAGAAAATTAAAAGTGTAAAAATCTAATTTATTATATTTGTTTCAGACAACATGAAACACAGCCTGTACAAATGGTGAGTAGGAGATTAGGCAATTTTTCATCTCTTTTATCAAAGGTAGATAATTTTATTAGATAATTCAGGTCCCTAACTCTTAAAGAAAATTCTAATGATGTTTTGCTCCCATGGCTGCACTAAGTTACAAAAGAAAGAATGTGTGGCCTAATTATTTTGTTTAAAGTCAAATATCTACAGATTTTTGTTTGGGACTAACTAGATAGGAAAAATAAAAGAATGAAGCAAATAAGAAGGAAAATTTTAAATTTATTGCTAGGGGACTTGCTGCATGCATAAAACATCGAAAAGGTTTGCATTTTTGTTGCTCAGCAGATGTTTTAGAAGGATGAAGCATAATTGACTGGGATGTAAAGTTAATTAGTTGCAGAATATTTTGTTGCCCAGGGCCCATTCCTGTAATACCGGTGCACCTGCAATTTGCCTCTGCACATATGTGAACTCATTTAAGGGGAGAGGGAAGTTTTCGTCACAGTTCCCTGCTCGACCTATTATTAGAGACCTGATCCTTGCAATCCAAGTTGTCCTAGTACATGTTATCAATTAAAATTAAATACATCACTGGCTAAATGGATACAAGGAAGACAGGGTTGTTTCCAACCTAGACTTTTCAATCTGCTCCTTGCCTATCACATTCCTTTCTCTAGTTTTCATTAATTTCCCAAGGGGAAGAACAATCGAGCATCCTGTGTAAAATGAGATGGGGAAGTTGGCATAACGGTGCCCTAAACAGCATTTTCTGCCTCAGGATGAGAATATTTAACTGCATTAAGGTAAAATACAGCTCTGGCAACAAACCGGAGATATTTATACACATGCTGAGAGCATCTCCTTTGCTCTCAGGTAGTGCAGAGGCCTCAGGATGGGCTGCGGTCTCTCCCTGCTCTCCACAGCAGCTGTCGTGAGGCAGAGCTTTACACAACCTGAGGAAGGAGAGCCATCAGCATACTGAAGGTCATTTTTCAGATGGGGTTGTCATCACCTTGAATCCACATTATTTTGCTCTCCTGGTTTCATTTATTGCATTGGCAACTTTATATATCCTAAGTCTAACAAAGGGCATTTATCCTCTCTAAGTTATATCAATTCATTGCTTTGTGGCTTTATTTTAGTAGGCATGAAATTGTGAAATTAAGATGCAAAGCCTTTCTCAGATAACTGCTAGACAACTTTTAGGACATGATTTGGTTGCTGTTTGAGTTTTCTTTATTACACTGAACATCACTATTGCTATTAATTTTTGTGATGTGTGAGACATATTAAAAACCATATATTTTGTTCTTGTTTGTAATCTCTCTTTCAAAAGTATGATTTTTACAGGTTTATTGAACCATAAGCAACTATTTGTAATAAACAGGATAGAACCATTACCTAAACTACTGCTGAGAGGCAGGGGAAAATATGCCAACATCAATAACTATTAATGCAAATCATATTATAGGAAGCTTTGCCTACTTAATCAACAGGAGCATGCCTTGTGTTATTTCCATGTGTAGGTAAAAACTTCATTAGGGTTGTTTTAGTGGATAAAGAACAAACCCAATCTTATTACCGCTTTTCCTGTCTCTCCATTACCCTCTCTAATTGTCTAATTGCTGATTCTAATCTGCTGTGAACTGGGAAATTATATAACGAGGCTTGTTAGAATTTTGTCTAAAACGTAATAGGCTTTATATCAGACCTCATGGGGGAGTCTTTTTTGAGTAAAGTATATGCTCTTTTAAAGTATGTTCTGGCTGCTTGGAGGCTTTGTTTTTGTTTATTTTGCTTCTTTACATTTTTAATTGCACAAATATACGATCTTATTTTCCCAAGGTAACTGCAGCAATGTCTCTCATCCACATTCTCTTCTGCAGAATAACCTTGACCCTCCCCATCAAGACGTGGAGTCTCATTTCCCTCCCTTTGGATTTGGACTGGCTTTAATAGGTCAGAGAAGGCCACGGCTCCTTTTGACCATGGGCTGGACACATCATTCTCTCTTGGTACACAACCATGACACTGTGAGAAAGCCAAGCCACCCAGGAGGCTGCATGGACAGTGTTCACCCCACTGAGCTGAGCCACTGAGCCATGCCAATTCTGGCACCAGAGATGTGAGTGAAGAAGCCTCCAAATAATTTCAGGCCTCAGCCGTTTCAGTCATATCCAGATATTCAAGTCTTCCCAGCTGTGACCCCACATATCACGAGCAAAGGAGCCGTCTGGCTGGGTTCTGATTCCTGAGCCATAGAATCCATGAGCATAAATGCAATGGCTGTCATTATATGCCAGTAGGTTTTGGGATGGTTTGTCATGAAACAATAGATAACTTGAACATTATACATGATTATATTTGGTTATAAATAATTTAATAAATACAGAATAAAACAAGAATGTACTCCTTTCCCAATTCTGCTCTAAATATGTTTCACTTTCACAGAGGGAATGACAGCCAAAGCATTTCATTTCTAACCTGTAAACTATGCAGAAGAAGAGACTATGTTTTTCACCTTTGTAATCTCAATTTCTAGGACATGTTCTGCACAGAGGAGGCATGTAAAAAGTTTACTTAATCGATCTGATATTGAGAAAAAGCTCACAAAAAGAAAAATTTGTCATAATATAAAATACCTATAAGATAATACTTTACAAGATAAAGTAATCCTGGTATTCAGAAAAGAGACACTATATGAGTGACGAGAATATTCCATTGACTGCTCTTGAATAGTATAATGATGTATAAATTCATAGCTAGCATTAATGATGCTATACACACATCTACCAGTGATAATTTATGATGGCAAATAATGGAAATGAAATCAAGCATGAGAATAGACTCACGTTAGAGCTTCAGAGTAATTATAATGAGGTGTAACTCCCAGAAACTTCTGGACTTCATCCATCACAGTAGCTGGGTCAGATCTCAGCTGCTGTCCATCAATAATTAGCAACTGTAAAGTCAGAAATAGTTGCTTTATGAAGAACACAGCTAAATTGAATAGACTGAGCTGCCTCCCTTGACCTTGTATGGCATTAATAAATTAGGTCAGTAGGAATAGGAAAATAAATGTACTATTTAGAATACATTTTAATGTTTACTATTCTTACATCTTTCCAAATGAACAATGATTAAAGTTTGACATAGGCATTATTTCTTGTGAGTTATCAAGTTATAGCTCTTGACTTTATTGTGAATCAGAAATAAACATAGATACTTTCTGATTTAGTACTTCAGTAGAAACATGATTTTCCATCTGTAGTGTAATCAGATAACTGTGCAGTCTACTAAATTCCCATGAGCTAACCCTCGGAGCCAAGGGGTTAGAAATAGTAGTCACACAGATAAAAATCACCCATCTATTCTTACAAACCAACACGGAAGTGGGGTGGGGAGGAGGAAGTGTTTGTTCCTGCCTTTTTGGCCATTGGTTCACTACCCAATAATGTCAGAATTAGCTGAAGAATGTTGAAAAAAAAAGTCAATGCTGAAGCCCACCCCCTGGGGCTTCAACTGTGCCTTGAGCTGGAATACAGAATATAAAGGATGTGGGTGCTTTCCTCAAATTCACTTTTCTTGTTTTATCCCATGTTCCTGAAGCTGTTATTGCATTTCCCATTTTGGCAGTCTAGTGATGACTTCCATCTTTCTTTATACGGGTCCCAAAGGACAGACATCGTGCAGGTATTTGCACTTGGTGTCCCATGAAATTGTCTACTGGCTCCTCTACTAGTAGTTGGGAGTTGTTGTCTGTGAACAATGTCTCCTGTATAAGGACTTACTTTGTGACCAGCTACTGTTCAAAAGAAGATCACAGGAATATGTTTCAGAGTCATTCAACAACATTTTGATACTACTATTGAAATTAAAAATGTTAACATACACTTTTCCTCCTTATCATTGCCTCATTATAACTTGCTATCTGTAGCGATGTTAATTCACATTTTCTGTGTGTCAGTGCAACATAATTATTATAAAATAAACAGAAGAAATTAATTTCAGGACATTACCTGAGAAGTAGCAAAGTGAGTTAGCCATCTTTCTATGTGGACTGCATACCATCCAGGTACGAGGCATCTCCTCTGCAAAGTTTTTAAGTCAGATGGGGCCCAATGCCCTGTTGTAATAACTTCATAGAAATTAAACCTCAGTGCAGCTGGATCTTCGTGTGATCGTTGGTGCTTTAATAAGAAAGCCAATTGTAAAGTTAGTTTTTTTTTGCCTGTGTAGGTATGTTTGTGGGTGTGCATGTGCATGTGTGTTTGATGTGTGTATATATACATGTGTGCATATGTCTCCTTCATTTCACAAAATAATAGCAGTTAACTACTTGATTTGAGAATGAAAAATGGTAAAAACTTCATATATTGAAACAGGCATTGGCACATTGCTTATTTTAAAGTATTTTAAAATACAAGCCTTCACTATATATCAAGTGACATACAGATAAGCTTGTGATTATATTCATGTCTATAATGTTTTGGTACGAGGCAGAGACAGAGTGCAAGAATTTTTTTCATGGATCTGATTAGAAATGAAAAGATTTCAGGGACCAGACAAATTAAGCCTGCTGAAAAGAGATCTAAATGGGAAAGAGCAGGCTACATATTACAGGGCTGATTGTATCATAACAGCTGCTCCTGCAGGTTCTGACATTTTCCCAATATCCCTGTGTGGTAGGTGTTATGGGTAAAGAGAAAGCAGATGTCTATTCCTAATGTTTATGTAGGTGTCATATTCATATTGACGTTGCCCACGGTCCTTTTCTTCTAGTCTCCAAGGGGTTTCTACCCAGCCATGCTAATTCCCAAATACTGCTTCACTTCTACTTTTCAGTACCAAATCCTCTGAGTCCTTCCACACCAAACCATCACTGGTCAAGCAGGAGAGAGCACTACTCAATGACAAACGAATTTAACAGTTAATACAATTTTGCAAGCATTTATTAAGCTCCTTTATAGAAGAACCACCTGCAATAGATTCTGGAAATAAAAAGACATAAGCACGACATAGTCATTACCTTCAAAGAAATGAAATATATAGTACGGGAGACCATAAATTAATAGATTGTAATAAAGTTGTATATTTGGCTAATGGTGTAAGTTAATTGCTCTGACAGCTACACCATGCACAGAAAGAGAAACCTTCCTACACTGTTGCTGGGACTATAAATTATGTAGCCATGATGGAAAACAGTATGAAGATTCCTCAAACAACTACAGATAGAACTGCCATATGATCCGGCAATTCCACTGCTGGGTATATACCCAAAGGAATGGAAATCATCATGTCAAAGGGATACTTGCACTCCCACGTTTATCACAGCTCTATTTATAAGAGCTGAGAGTTGGAACCAACCTAAATGTCTGTCAATGGATGATTGGATAAGGAAAATGTGATATATACACACACACAAAGGAATACTACTCTGCCATAAAAAAGAATGAAATACTGCCATTGACAGCAACATGAATGAACTTAGAGAAAATTATGTTAAGTGAAATAAGGCAGGCACAGGAAGAGAAATACTGCATGCCCTCACTCATAAAGTGGGAGATAAAAAATAAGCAAATAAAGAAAGAAAGGTACAACAATCACAATAATACGTTGAACTTTCAAAAGGAGAGAACAGAACTGAGGTTACCAGAGGTGGGCAAGTGGGAAGGAGAGGGGATTCGTGAGACATTGTTAAAGGGTCACAAAGAACGATTCCATTGTGTAGTTATGAATATACAAATTATCCTAACGTTATCACCACATATTGTACACAGGTATTGATATTCAACTCTGTACTTCACAAATATGTACAATTAACTGTTGCAATTAAAAAAAAGGCAAACCAATGAACAATTCTGGCTGAAAAATAAAGGGATCTTTTTCAATGGCTGAAGCTTTTGAGCTAAAATGCAATGAGAAAGATTTTGATAATCAGAAAAACAAACATGAAAACTAAGAGAACTTTATCATCTAAGGTAAGTTTGAGTGAAGGTGGGTGAGATGTGTGGGGATAAAGGAGTTGTGTTGTGAGATATCTAAAAGTGAATACGAAAAAAATCTATTACAGGGTAAGGTTGGAAATATACTGGGGCTTGATACAATTGTGTAATATCAGGTCTCTGTGTGAGTAACAGGCCTTATGTGGGAGTTAGAAATTTAAATAACTAGGCAAGTAAAGATGAGTAGGACATGGTGAATGGTTAGGGTAATTGAGTGGTAGATCAGTGGGACTTATAAAATGTTTGAAGTCCTCTCAGTATTGTTTATTTATTGATATTATTACATGTATACAGATTATACTGAGTATATAGAGATTATATAACTCAATTAACAAAATGTGTAGAAATTACGTAACTTGAATAAAGAATTATAACCATACTATCACTATGTGCATATTTATACAGTAATGCTAAAATTTCTATTTTAAGCAGTGATAGTAAGGAATTGTTCTTAATTTGTTCTATATTGATATACACCAGTTTAGCACCAACTTTTATTTATATTCCTCCAACTAAGAAAGAAGATTAGCATAAAAATATGGCCAGGAAGTCATGAAAAGACATATTTTACAGAAAAAAATAGTCCTATTGCTCCTCTGTGAGGCCCATTATAAAAATGTGGAGTAGAAATTACAGTGGCAGGTGACATTTGTAGGAGTTTCTGAATTATACCTGCTGAGCTTTGGATTTATGGTATTTACTGAATAGACAGGACTAGCTAAGTAAAAGGCCACATTATTTTGAAATGTGGAGCAGTTTGGGGCCCTACTCTCAGCAATATGGCAATAAAAAGTATTATCAGAAAGAATAATTCCTTTCAAACCTGTATGTTCAAAGAATTTATTTGGAAAAGCAGGCCCAGAGAAGCTCCCACATTGTGTAGATTCTCTTTTATTTAAATGGTTTAATACATGTAGGAAAATAAAAAAGACTCATTTAAATCTGCTCTAAGTAGTGACTAGTGACCATGTTTTCTGCCAGAAAAATGTCCAACATTTCTCCCAAATATTTGAATTCACAACTTTTAATTAAGGCTCAACATCTCAATGCTTTGGCCACAATTTTTAAAAATAAGTTTCTCTTACTTTGCAATATGAATTTTCATAAAGTGAGAAAGACTTATTTTTGTATCGTGGGAAATACTGACTCATGTGTTCTAATGGTAATGTATAAATTTAGCTTCCTATCTAAGATTTCCATTTGGATCTCCAACTGCTTGCAATCCGAATTTGCACTGTCATATTTTTCTGTCAGTATTTGTTTTCAGTAGCATGTACTTATTAAAGACATTTGAAAAGTCAAGAAAAGAAAGAAAAAGTAAAAATCACTTATTGCACTCTTTAAAAATTTCCTTTAGTCTTTATTGTGGCATTAATTTCTATTTCTACATGCATTAAACATACACATACACAAAATGTGTTCACACAGTTTGGATTCTGGTATAAATATATTGTTATCACCATAAATTTAAGATCACCAACTTCAATTAGGCCATTATTGTTGTAGGACATTTTACATTTCTGTGGCCAATTTTATTGCACCTCCACAAAGATTTACATTCCTTTTTTTCTCTCTTCAAGCTACCTCCCCAAATGATTGCCCTTTTTATTGCCTTCCTTCTCATCAGATTAACTTGTCCCAGTTCTCAAAGGGAGGAGAGACCATCATAGTCACTTCAGTTTGAATTTACCTGCCTGCACATTTGCCCCTTCTTTTATCCCTCAAGTTTCAATTCAGGGGTTCTTAAACAGAGCCCCGTTGATGGAATCCAATGGGTCTGTAAAGTTGGATCATCAAAAAAAGGCCTATTTATTTTCAGCATCCTCTAAATGAAATTTAGAGCATTTCCTTTCATTGTGAATATAGACAATAGCCACAGTATTACTCCTGTGATATTATCACCAATAAAAATAAGTTATTTTTATATCATATTACAGGTGTGTCATATATATTAAAATGTTGTTTATACTGACTGCTACTTCAAATTAGAATAATATTAGACACAACATTAGAACTTGTTGATAATTTAATAAATAAAAATTTATTACTGATTGAGAAAGTATTTTTATAATTACGTTTTATAGTTATTTCCTTTTTAATTCTATGTATTTAATTTTATGCTTTTAAAATATATTTCTGAAATGATGCCCGTAAGTTCCATCAGACTGCCAGAAGAGTCCCATCACAAAAAAGTTAAGATCTCTAGAAACAGAGGGAACGTGTCCCTCCCATCTAAGCTGTTTCCTGTAGCGATCCTTTGCTAGATCTTCAGAGGATTGATTTCCCATTACAGGATTGACTCTTCTGGACCTTTAATCTCTTTTTCTTTGAAAACTTTCCTTCTTAATTAAAATCACCACCATCACAGAACACGTCTTTCTTGACCCCACTTCAACTGCTACGTAATAAACTTATGTCTTGTTTTTCACCCTTCAAAATAAAATGTCTTTTGAATCTTTGGTAAGTGCTGCCTCTATTTCTTCATCCCTACTTACTTATTCCTTGATCAAATCCATCTAGCTTTCTTCTTTTCACCTTGTTCCTAAGGGCTCCACTTCCACCCACATCTTTCAACTCAATGAAAATAATTCAGGTCTTGTTTTGCCCGATCGTCTGGTTTCTTAGCAGTTGTTTGATACTTCTGTCACCCCCTCCATTTGAAAGCTCTCTTCCCTTCGTTTGGTGTTACTACACTCTTGGAGATTTTCTTCTACTCTGGCTGTATTTTCTGGTCTCTCCTGCTATCTCATCCTGCTCTGAACTTTCCATCTCTAACCTGTCTACTTAGGCAATTTCACCATTTTTGTGGCCATGTCTTTGATTTACAAATTTCTGTCTCTACTCCAGACCTCTCCCCACTATCAGGTAACGCTACTGTTCCTTTTGGTTAGGATAAGATTCCACACATCATAATCATCACCTGCATATTTACCCCGCCCCCATCTCCTGTGTCCTTCCTCAGTGCTTCTTTTTTTCATGGAATATATGAACATCATCCAGTTCCCCAGGTCAGAAATTTGATTCATATTTGACACAGCTTCCTAAATTCTGTTGATTTTAATCTCTAAACATTTTTTGATTTTTTAATACAAGGGTACTTCAAAAAGCTCACGGAAGTATTCATATTATCTTTTAATTCTATTTTTCCACCAACTTTTTGAAGAACCCTCCTACTTCACCCAATTTCTGCTTACTATCTTTGTCTATGCTGCCTCTATTTCTCAGCAGGACTACTGGAATAATCTGTAATTTGATTTCCCTGAATAGTCATCAGTCCTATTCCAACCCATTATTTCAATATCTATGATATATTGTTTTCTAAAAGGAAATCTGGTAGTCACACTGACTACCATTTCTTAAAGGCTTTCAAGTACTCAAAAAATGGCAGCCCCATAGTTCCAGCCTCACTTGCCTCTCAGCCTCACCCCCCACAGGTCTCTACCTGGGGTTTTTCCCACTAGTCACATAGAATTTCTTCTAGCTCTTTAAATGTTCTATGGTTCTTTATACCTAGTGCACTTTACATATAGTACCCCCTATTCCCCACCTTCCTTCTACCTCACTCAGTTAACACCTACTCATCTTTCAGTTTTAAGTCTAAATAAAGTTTATTTCCTCAGAGAATGCTCTCAGTGCACCTTTACATATTTTCTCACTGCACATTCACAACATCTAATTATATATTTTTGTGATTATTTGATTATCTATTCACACATTAGAATGAACATAATATTTTAATTCTTATCTTATTGATTTAAACCATAATTAAATGTAGCTGCAGAATATTCCATTTTGGTGTTACACAAGTCCATATTGTTGATCATTTACCTTTCCTTTAGTTGTTTCTATTTTTATAGATAGTGCAGTGATGAACATAAATATTTGTTCATCCCTTTGCAGTTTTCTGTATGATCAATTCCAGAAAAGTAATCACGGCACAAAAGAATCTTTACATACCTCTTGATAATGATTGCCAAATGAGTTTTTAAATAATATCCCTAATATATCCTTCTATTGGAATGCTTAAAAATCTTCATCACACTCTTGCTGGCAGACAGAAACATCATGATTTTTGTCAAGATATTAAATATAATTCACATTTTGTTGACCCCTAATGGGGTTGACCATTTTTCACATAAATTGTTGAACAGCATTGTATGTGTGTGTGAGAGAGATGGTTTGTGTCTTTAACTCATTTTGCTCATTTTTCTACTGTGATTAATTTAGTACACATTTGGGGGAACTTTTTATAAATTAAGGGCATTAAGCTATTTATCATGTAGATGTTAAAGATGCCCTAGATACTGACTTTTAATTTTGTTAGCTTTTGACAGACCAACAGTTTACATGTTTATATCATTTAGGCAATCTATTAATTCTTTGATGTGTCATGTTTTTCTGTTATTTTATGCTCGAAAGTTCTTGCTCAATTTGATATGAATTAAATATACAGCTCTTATTTCTCATAATTTTTTTCAATGTTTTTACACTTGACTGTCCCATGCATCTAGGCTTTGTTTTGGTGATTCGCCATTGCCTACATTCAAGCTACAACTGCATGCTTTTAACAGCATTTTTCACTGCTCCTACCTGATACCATGAGTATGCCCTGTCTGAAGGGTCGATGAGGATGGTGATGATCTTGGCTTTTGGGATGAGAGATGCAGCTCGCTTGGGAGCTTCTTCTGAATGGAAGTAATTAGCACTCTTTTCAAATAGAAAGTCACTTGTAATGTTGGGCGGAGTAGGGAAAAAGTCCATATACCTGAAGGCAGAGAAAGACAATTCATTAATGTGAGATTATTTTTCCTTGTCATACTCCGAATATGAAATAATTTGGACTTTTAAAATATTTATTTATACCAATTTCTAATTATTGTGCTATAACAGTGTAAATAGTGAATATTCTGTATACTTTGAATGTGAGAGAAAAACCAAAAAACTGTTGTTCTAATGACCCATTTTGGACAGGGGAAGGAGTGAGATGAATTGGTAGGTTGATGAGGAACAGAGGGAAAATACTGTATATTTGGGCTGATGTTTTGTACTATCAAAAGCCAAAACCAGAAATATTGTTCACCTCTGTCCAACAGCAAATTACATTATCTTGCTTAGCTAATATTTTTAAATGGTACATTTATATTTGCAAATTTGAAGGCAGAAATTTTTAAAGTGAGATTAAAGTTCATAAAACATAAAGATGTGTAAGTCAGAATAGCTATAAAATACTAAACAGATTAGGGCATAGCTGTTCTCCACCTTTTAACTTCTGCAAAATTTGTAGTGTATGCAGCAATGTGAACACATTATAGTCTATCTAGAGTAATTAAGGGGATATTTCCTGCCAGTTGATCCTGTGGTGTCTCTGTAGGTTCACTCCTCCATATGCCATCGGAACATTCCTCTGCATGTAGATTATGGAATCAATATGTTCTGAGGTTAATTCAGTGCAAGGCTTTAATTATGTGTGTAACCCTCCTTACAGCTCATCACTTCTCTAACCTTCAAATGTTCTAGAAATAAATAATGAGAGCAATTAAGAATTCATATAAGATACTTATTTTCCTCTTTGACATTTGTTACTATGTTTCCCAAATGTGGAGTGGTAAAGAGTCTCATCTACATTCCTGCTTAACAATTTGTGTTCCATTTGAGCTCACAGATAAGAGAAAATTGCTGTTCTGCTTTTATTAACTTGCATGCAATTCCAAAATTTACGTAGCCTTTTAAAAGTAAGGTAGAATAGTAATATCCTAGATACAGAGTGGACACGTCTCTACTCATGATGGGAAGCCAGAGCTGCTCCTCAGCATCGCTCCTGCCTGACCCTAGTCCTAGCTGTGTCTAAAAAAAATTGGTCTTTCATTAAGGACAGGCTCATGCATAATGATGACGCAAAAATTACATGTTGCGGATGTGTACATTGCAGAGAATTTCCCTCAGGTGAGATTTGCCTTTAAATTAAATTCAGGACCATATTTTCTTGGAAAATTGGGAGGGAGCTAGAAAAAATCACCAGAGTGAAGATTATTTACAGTATCAGGCTTAATTTATTTTAGTTTATGAAAATATTGTGATTTTAAAATTTTTCATAATTTATCAAGTGGTAATAGATACTCTTTTATTCCTGTGTGTGACTAGAATTGATAAGGTTTTGGAAATGTTCTGTTATTATTTTCATGACAAATATCAGTCTATATTTTAATATGTAACATATGCAGTTTATGTGGTTAATGAAGATACATGTCAGAGGATAAAATAAAACAACCTACTGATTTATTTGTTTCCTCAAGCATCATTGTGAAGACAAATTATGTGTTTAGTAAAAAAAATAATTAGGTAGAGTAAAAGAATAATATGCTTAAAGAGAATTTTAAATATCCTTATGAATAATTCTGATGAAAAATATCCCATAATGTGTTTTATTCACTCATATTAATTTACCAGAAAAATATTATCATTATTGCACTGTCCAAATCAAATTATAGGCAACACTGATTAAACATATCATTATTATAAATTAATTTCTAATTCACTATGGTAGAATTGAGCATAACAAATTTATTCTGTAATTATGCAGATGCCATGCATACATCTATAATTGCTCTGCAGTGATTGAGCATGTGTTAATAATGTACTTTTTTGTTATTTTTCTTACCAGTCAATTCCCTTGTGATAGTTGTTGCCGTTAAAGAACTGAACTTCTTCAAATGTTTTTGGGCTGGGGAGATTGCTGATGATGGAAGGGTGCATAAGAAGAAATAAATAAAGTGCAGTTGTTCCTATTATGAAAAAGAAAATAAAAGGTAATATGGTAATAAAATAATGGAAAAAATATTATTTTAGCATATTTTTTTGCTCAGAAAGTAATATTTAAAAGACCAATTCTTTCCAATATCAAAATAATTTTTTTAAGTCAATTTGGTGCATTTCACATGACAACAATCTAAATGTTCTTTTATTAGTCTCTGTGATTCCATTTACCTAAATGCCTGATTTAATATTACTTCACAGCCAAAGTAAAGCAGATCAATGATCCAGCTAGGGGATAAATTCAGAAATCCTTGGTTTCTAGAGTCAGGTGAGGGGCTAAAGCATCAAGGCAGAAGGTGTCTTTACTCTCTGTTTCTGGAATCAGGCATAGTACCTGAACCTGGTGTGCCTTCAATTAACACTTCAAGTGAGATCAATTAAATCAAACTATTCAACAGATGTTACTCTGTGTATGGTCCTGCAGTAATGATTGGTGATAAATCTTGATAAGGAAAAACAAACTTGCTGACCTCAATAAACTTAAAGTTTATGAACGGACTTGGGTCAAGGACACAGGTAATTATGACGTAGTGAGACAGGTGCCATAATGACAGAAGACCAGAGTGCTCTTCCAACATATGAAAAAATGTGTGATTTGGACTTGGAAAATCAGTGAGGGCTTCCAGGAGGAAGTATATTCTAAGGCCATTCCTTAAAAACATAAGTGTTGCTCAACAAGGTTGAAAGAGGACGGCAGGATTCAAGAAGACAGCCACTTGAATGTCTTTCCCTGGCCGGATAGGGCAATCAAGTCTAATGACTGAGGGACTTGGCTAAACAGGATGGCTGACAGAATCCACTTAGTGTGCACACCACAGAAGCCTCAGATGCAATCTCTGAACCTGTTTTCCTCAAAGCCAGGCCAGAGACTGGGATCTACAGCAGAAAGGACTCAAGAAGTGACTGGATCGTCATTGCTCTCATAAATCAAGGCTTCTCTTCTTGATAACATCAACCCTCTTATGACACATTGGACTGAGGAGGGTTTGTCAGATGTCTCAGCCCTAGGAGAGCTGGAGATGAGTTGCACAGTTGGGTTGGCAGGACAATAACCACTGCAGCTGGGGACCTGATAGTGGAGAAGGTCAACGGAAAATTGGCATTTTGTTCTAATATGCATTAAGCTCATCCAAGCAAAGCCTACTTTGCTTTGAGTATTAATGAGATTGCTACCTGTTTAGATCCTCACAGCTTTATGTGAGTATCAAGGTTGAATATGAGTAGCTAAAGGAAAGTGACAACAGATCTAAGGGGACTAATCCCCTTGGATGGAAGACACATTAAAACATCTAGAATGGCTCATAGTTAAATAGGATGACAAAAATTAATAAATGCTTGTATGAAGATTTAATTACTAATTTTAAAAGACTTAAGAATTAACAAATATGGAATCAAGTCATACAAACTCAGTGTTAAAAAAAAATGAAGGAGACAGAACTGGTCAAGAACTGACTTAGAGGCAAGAGAAGAACTGAAGATCAGGAAGAAGAAATATCTCAAACACAATGAAAAATACAGATGTAAAAGTTATTAGGGATAAGAGCAGTCTTGAAGAACTGATCTGATTTGCTCCTGAAAATGATAGGAGTTCAAAGAAACAAAATGTGAGAATAGAAACAAAAATGTTTCAGAGTGAAGAAATGAATCAAAGATAGAGTAGTAGCTGGAAGGGAACTTGAAACCCAGAAGTATTCTTGTTAGTACTTTTTAAGATGGCACTTAGATAAAAATGTTTAAATAATGATGAATGTGAAGCATTAGAGAGAGAGAGAGGTTTCTGAGACACACAAGAGAGCTGAAAAAATTAATAGTTTAACATCCCTAAGGTGTTTGTTGAATGTATATGGATCCAGGGCATGGATAAAGGAATATTTTTGAATTATTATTGAATATCCTAAAATAGATACTTTATAACCTCACTCAGTAGTGTGAAGAAATATTTAACCACCCCAATGGTCACAGAATTGTACCCAGATGTCCCCCGGGATACAGAAAGTCAAAGCCTTTATGTTCTGAACCCTACACCTCCATGACCCCGGAAGCTGAAGGGACATCAGGGAACATCTGACAGGAAGGAGAGAGAAAGCACTCACAACCGGGGACAGGAGGCATGTGGCTTGATATTCATATAATCAGGCATAAAATTTGGGCCCGCTCCCTTGCAATGTATATGTTTTTATTATTATCTATGTTTTCATCTTCTCTTGTTATTCATTTTTATTCAATTTCTTTGTTATAAATATTTTGTGGAAGAAGAGGAAAAAGACCTCATACCTTGTAAGACCATAAGAGAAACTTTATTCTATTCTATATACAATCAACTTCTGTTTAGATTTAATGTACCAGGGTAAGTTAGCCAAATCATTCACAACAGGAACCCTGATCTTCTGGATATTTAAAACCAATGAATTATGCTCTTAGAATTATTGGACTAAATTTAATCCTATTACGAATCCTCTTTTATAATGATAATGCCAAAATATGACTCTGAATGATGCAGGATACATCTTCGTCCAAAGGATCACGGGATTGTGATTTAAACTTCAAGTATCTGAAGACCAGGACTACCATGATCACTGTCTGTTTCTCTTCTCCTGTCCTCATTCCCTGACCACTCTCAGCCAACAGGAATCTCTTCTAGGACTCAGCAATGGCAAAGTGAAATTCTACCTCCCTGCATTCTCACATCACAACAACTGAGAAAACAGGAGTTTGAGGACCACTTTTGTATCTCATATTTATTGTAAGGGATGCATGTGCTAAGTTTAAGTTGTTTAAAGCCAACTTTGCATTTAGGACAGATTGTTAGCATTTATCTGCGACTGCCCTCCAGGGAATTTACAGTCTCAGACAGCAGTGGGAGTTTTGCCAACTGAAGCAATACGAAGAACAAAAATATGACTTCAGACTTCTATAATTGGATTTTAAGAATTATTACAACCATTTTCATATTAAAATAACATTTTCCTAGCACATAAAATATTATTTCATCCAATTTCTTTATTTTAACTTCTTATTTGTTTGTCTTGGGAAAGCCAAAACCAGCTAAAAGCTTTATCATTCCCATAGTGGTAAGTCAAATATTAAAATCTAAAGGTACAACTTATTGGCTTTATAAATACAAACAACAAGAAGGAAAAATAGATTTATAGTTACTAACCTGTAATTTTCTAGCATAACTAAGAAGTAATAATATTCAATGACAAATGATAGAGGATATGTTTTTAAATTAAATTTTTAACATAATATTACAACACAAGAATGTTTATTTCGTTAGCAGTAATTCCAGAGTTAGCACTGCTGTAAGGGAATTGGCAGTAAATTAATGCACATTTTAAACAACAGAAAAAGTGATATATATGAAAATATAAGATGCTTTTTTCCCTTACTGCACGTGTGTTGACTTACTGTTGTAATATAATTTATATTCCTAGAGAAAGAAAAGATTCGAACAACCAATATCTAATAGTCTAGAAATTTTGCCTACGACCTTTAAAATGATCTACTTGCTTGTATTACAAATATCTTCATCTGGGCCATGTCTATTTATTGTGACTGTTTTGTGTTATGGTTTGTGCACTCATTGATGAAAATACTTCTAGTCAAAGTAGTGAATTCAAAATACAGCAACTCAATAAAAACTTTAATTAGTTGGGATATAAGCAAAGTGTATAAAACTGTCACATACTGAAGAAAGTATAAAATATTCTAATTGAAAGTGTCATCCCCTTGGTGAAATACTTTTACTCTCTTTTATTACATTCTTATACAGTTGTCTTTCAGCACATGAGAAAATACCAAGAAAAAAATGCCTGATGGAACTCAGGTGTATCAGGATATAAGTCCAAACAATAGTAATAGCTAATGATTATTTTTTAAGAACAAAATTATACATGTAAAATATTTGAAAGTAATAATGGTAGTGGCTCTGAAAAAAAATCAAGGCTGACATTCAGTGTAAAATAGTTTGAATTAGGCTAAAGCTCTTATTATAACTTAATTCAGGAATGAATTAGGCAAAGCCACAAAAAGTAAGAATTAAAAGTCAGGTACCACAACTGTGACACATATATTCAAAGTTTTCAAAAATTTGACATGTATGTTGAATAGTTTTAAAATCTATAATAAAACAACTTAGTGCTTAAATCTAATTAATGCGCAAAATTAAGGTCATCTCGAGGTTTATGCCATTAAGATTATCCAGAGGATGAAAAGCAGTTCCAATAATGAACTTGCTCAGATGTCTAAATATTTCTCATAGCAAATAAAAATGTCATATAACAATATATTTTATAACAATAATTTAAAAAAGAATGTAGGAAGCACGACTGGCTATTCTTACCTGTTTTTTGTGGCCCAATTACGAGGAATTTTGGTAAGTGGTCACAAGTTTTCTCTCTGGACCAGATGTCTTTGTGTCGTTTATCATCACATGGATTCTGCAAGAAGGATGAATAAGGAATCTTACTATGTAATGAACACCTGGCTCTGTTCGCTAACAGTTGTTCAAAAGACAGGATCAAATTCTTGCCTAGTACCCAAGAGCTAGGAGTTAGACCATGCTCTGGTTCTCTGATTTCCAAATAAAGTGATTGGCACTTCTCTTACCTCTCTACTGGAACTCAGCATCAAGTCAATCCTGCCATCATCATCTCCTGTGTTTGGTTAGGTTCTAACCCGTGAGATACTACGATACTACTCAATTTGTGGGTTCATATTTCACATTTATATGTCAGAGGCCTGAACTTGACTTAACCTTGTTTGACTTACAGTTTCTCGGATATCTGTGCTCTGCTCTAATCATTAATATTTTTTTTTCCTAGGGGCTGGAATGCCATCCTTGAACTCCAGTCTTGGCCAAGTTTTCCTTTTCATGTCATACTATGTGCTATTCTCTGCTAATCCAGCTACTACCATGGTTTGGCCACATCCCATAATCTGATAGCATCAAGATCAATATTTCTAGCTTCCATCTCCCACTTGAGCTCTAGATCTATATTTTACATTGCATATGTTTCATTTCTGTACAGACGTGGTGTGGAAATTTCAGACCCAACATACCCAATGTATCCATTTGTCCAATTTCATCACCATCTAACCTTCACCTCATGTTCCATTCTCCATTCCATTTGGTTGACTCAGATTTATCATCCAAATTGTGACACTTTTGAGAATTAAAAAAGCCTTTAAAATGAAAATGATATAATCTTGAAATATTTACTGACTGCCAAATTCGTTTTATTATAGTATTGGTGATCTATACAATAATTTTATTCAAAACTATTTTCCCAAACAAAATACATTAAAAAAAACCCATATACCTTGGGCATTAAAGCAATTATTTTCTACGCTAAAAATTGACATAAGATGAAAATAATTTATGGTTCTTATTTATGTACTTTAATCAGTTCTTTAGACACATCTTTTTCTAATACCACATCTCTAAATTTCCCCTAAAGAATGATTGTTTTCAATATGACCTTATATTTTGCCTTTGCATAAAATTGTCTGCAATTCTTCTCAGAATTTTATTTCATGGTTAATAAATTTGAAAATCTTGACACTTTCAATTGACTCTTCTCTGTAGGCTACTATATTTTAATTTGGGAAATATTTTCTCTATAGGGTTGAGATAAGTTTATTTTCAATTCTAATTTCTTTTCATATTGAAATGTCTAAATACTAGAGACCAAATATTTTCATAATTATTTTGTATTCAGTGCATCTTTGACAAATATTTTTTTTTTTTTTTTTTTTTTTTATTTTTATTTTTATTTTTTTATTTATTTATTTATTTTTTTTAAATTTTTTATTTTGTCAATATACAATGTATATGA